AGGCACGGTGTGTGACACTGGACCTGGCGTGTGATGAAGATGGCGGCCTCGTGTGGTCTAGACTGGACAACACACACGGGCGTGGCGCGGATCTGGTGTGTACGGCAGACCGGTGAACAACGAGAGGCCTATGACTTCAATTCCTTGACCCACAAAGAGGGCTACTGGACACCGGCCCCACAGGTGTGTCGAAGCGGAGGCACGATCGTTGGGGGCGGGTAACAGTCGGAGAGCCAGTGGGGCAAGGCGGTTGCGTCACCACTTGGCCCAACCAAGCGGACGCTCCCCACCAACGAGAGGCCAATGAGGTCAATTCCTTGACCCACAAAGAGGGCTACTGGACACCCGCCCCACAGGTGTGTCGAAGCGGAGGCACGATCGTTGGGGCGGGTAACAGTCGGAGAGCCAGTGGTTCAAGGCGGTTGCGTCATCTCCGGACCAACTAAGAGGACGTTTTACCGGTGGTCTTACGATGAGGCCAGAACCAGTACACGGTGTGTTGTGTAGTGGACCCAGGTGGACGGGATGGACAGGCAACGTGTGCCATTAGTAGCGGGCGGGTCTAGGCTGACCCTCCCCCCTTGTCCTTCTGGGTGAACGACCGACAGGACTAGTAGCGCGGATCAGCCCTCAGTGAAGGGAACACTATCTTGGTGCCTTGAGTTTTTTTAGGGAGCACAGACGCAAGATTAATGTTAATGGAAATTGTTTTTTTCTTGCATTCAAGCTGATAGGCTTGGTGTAAGAGATGGGTGCATGTTTTATTTTAAGATTGTTATATGTATTTTTTTGTCTTACAGGGACTGTAAGATTTTTAAAAGGGGTGAATGTGAGCGGGTGAATGGATTTTTTTGTATTATTTTATTTGTTGCGAATCTGGGAGTGCATGGTGGTCCAATGGGGAACAGCACGGGGTCCCCCTTCCGCTCGAAGCGGTCAGTATAAATTGACCGCTCGGAGTGATTTTCTTCCTTTTTTTTTGACCCGCGGCGAGATGTAGGTCGGGTCAGATTTCTGCGTGGCGCACCGCACGCGTGGAGGTATTTGTTTTTTTGTACTTTATCTTTATGTGATTTGTATGAATGCGACTGACGATGTTTCTCGTTTTCTTTCATTTTCGTCTAAAACGAGATAGTGAGCATCGGCATGTCTGGTATGCACGTGGTGTGTTATTCTGTTATTTTGAATTAAAATGTATTTTTGATGTTTTCTAAACCCTTGGCGTGTGTTTCGGACCACGTGGTTTAGGCCAGTGTGTTTAGGAGTGTTTCCTAAACTGGTGTGAATGCGTGTGTGCGTTTACCTGATTGTTTTATGATGTTGTTATTGACTAGGATTGGCTTAGTCAATAGTCAGTTGTTTAGACAGTAATTAGATTAGTATATTTTAGTTGCCTCGAGTTTTAGGTTGTTTAAAATTAATGTGTGTGCTGTTTCGTGCAACGTCATGTTGAGTATCGCTTGCTTTGTGTCTGCCTTCATTGGGGCCTTAGCGGAGTGTGTTAACGTCAATGTTATCAATATGGATATTGTTTATGTAGACCAATGGCTTCGGGCTTCCTTGTGTAGGAAAGATTGGTTCTACGATGAATTTGTTTACACGTTATTTTTAAGTTGCTAGTTCTTCTTTAGACAGTGGTTAGTTGTTTTTGAGAATTGCTTTTAGAATTGAATAGTAGGGATTAGTTTTACTCGAGGCTTTAGCTAGATAGTAGTAGTAGGTAGCATTTTGAACTTGTGTATATATTTATGTATATATCTGCCATTACCATGCATTTTTCTTATGTTTTCCTTTTCTTTTTCTCTTCCCCCCCCCCCTTCCAGTGAGGTTGCTTGTGCAACTTGGCTGGGTGTTTTGTTATATATAAATTGTTTTGTTTGGTGTAAAAAGTTTGTTGTGTACGTATTGTTTTGTACGTAACGTATTGTAAGTAGTGGTTTTACGTAGTGTTTTGTTTGGTGTGTGACTTTTGGATGTCGAGAATGGATGAAGGGAGGTTTCTGTGTGTCAGGGCCTGGACCATCCTAGACATCATAAGTCGGTGCAACACCAGCAAATGGTCGAACGTAATGTTTTGTTTCGTTGAGTTCTGTTTGTTTTGTATGTCTTGAGTGTTTTATTTTGTCTAGATCTAGATTCTGGTTTTTTTTATAATAACTTTTGGTTCCATATTTATTATTTTGTGAAATAAATTTTATATTATTGTTAAAGTTTTTTTGTTTTTAATTTAGACTAAGGTTAGGTTATTAACCAGCCTGGGTTTAGCCGGGCTTGCACTGACCGGACAGTAGTTAGTTAGATAAGCCTAGGGAAGGGTGAAGGGTAGATAGATTTTAAGGTATCCCCCCTAGCAGGGCTTACATTAAAGACACAAATCCAAGATACTGCAAAGCTAGAGTTCCACCTTATGCAATGAGGAATAAGATTGAAAATGAGCTAAGTAGATTGGAATCTAATGGCATCATAAAGAAGGTAGACTATTCCAATTGGGCAACGCCCATTGTGCCAGTGTTAAAGAAGGATGGTTCTATAAGAATTTGTGGAGACTATAAAACTACACTGAATAAGCAAATAGAGCTAAATAGATACCCTATTCCTAACATTGAGGAGATTTCTTTGAATTTGGCAGGAGGAGACAAATTCACTGAATTAGACTTTAGTCATGCTTACACTCAACTAGAACTGCATCCAGATTCAAAAGTCTATACGACAATAAACACACATAAAGGACTCTACCAATATGAAAGACTATGTTTTGGCATATCATCTAGTCCTGGAATTTTCCAAGCTGTCATGGACAGTATTTTTAAGGATATTCCAAATGTTTGTGTCTATTTTGACAATGTGTACATAACTGGTAAGAATGACACTGAACATCTTAAAACACTTGATAAAGTATTGAAAATAGTTGGTGAAAAAGGGTTAAAGATAAACAAAGATAAATGTCAATTCATGCTGACAGAAATTAGTTTTCTTGGTTATATATTGAGCAAACAATGTATCAGACCCCAACCTGAGAAAACAAAAGCCATTAAAGAAGCACCCAAACCTGAAAATACCCAAACAACTAAGAGCTTTTTTTTTTGGGCTTGATAAATTACTATGCAAAGTTCATATGGAATCTGTCTGGTAAACTATCACCACTGTACAAGCTGCTACAGAAAAATGCAACTTGGCACTGGGGTAAACAACAAGATACTGCTTTTAATACAGCAAAAGAGGCTTTGTCTTCTGACACCTTACTAACTCACTATGACCCAGGGAAAAGACTTATATTAACATGTGATGCTTCACCAGATGGTGTAGGAGCAGTCTTGTCCCACATGGATGAGAAGGGTGACAGACCCATTGCTTTTGCCAGTAGATCTTTGAACCAGGCTGAGAAAAATTATTCTCAGTTAGATAGGGAAGGCTTAGGCATCAATTTTGGTGTTAAGAAATTTCATAAGTTTCTGTTTGGTAGGAAGTTCACCATCTTTACAGATCATAAACCATTGCTAGGTTTATTTGGAGAAAACAAAACCCTACCTGAGCATGCCTCACCAAGAATTCAAAGATGGGCTATCACACTAACTGCATACAATTATAAATTGAAATACAAACCTGGATCTGAGAATAGTGCAGATAGTCTTAGTAGATTACCTTTAAAAAACCAAAGCCTTAGCTATGTACCAGAAGATGTATTTGTTCTCTTCACTATCATGGATAACTCCAATATAAATGTGAATGATATTAAAAGAGAAACACAAAAAGATGAGTGCTTAATAAAAGTATATGAGTACTGTAAGAATGGTTGGCCTGAAGAGTCTGTGAATGATGACTTAAGGCCATATAAAATAACAAATAAAAACCTTTGTGAAGATAATATAAAAGATGGAGAAGATGCAGTCCATTATCAGTCAGAGTTGCCTAAATAAAGTATTTGTAACTTAATAAATGATTATGGTGATATGGCAATTTCAAAGGCTTTAAGTAAGAAAGAATGTGATCATCAAACAACTTTGCTAACATCATTAGCACTTACAGAAACTAAAAGAAACTAAAAGGGTAACATCAAAAGTAAATACCAAACAGAAGAAGCTAAATGTGACAATGAAAGAGTAAACAGGTTATTAGCCAAATACCGCACAACTCCTCATATAACAACAGGTGTTGCACCATGTGAATTGTTATGTGGTAGGAAAATTAAAACCCACCTTGATCTACTACATCCAACTGTTCAAAGGTCTGTTTCCCAACATCAACATACACAAAAAGTAAATCATGACAAATCATCCATTGAAAGAGAATTTGCAGTTAATGATAATGTGTATCTAAGAAATTATGGGAGAAAGGAAAAATGGATACCAGGTCAAATTGTTCAATGTACAGGACCTGTGTCTTATAAAGTAAAAACAAATGATGGACTTATTGTCCGTAGACATGCAGACCAGTTAAAAATAACTTGTGCAGATAATAAGTGTGAATCTGTCAATCCCACCAAATCTGAACAGTTCACACCAACTCAGTTTGTTCCACAACCAAGTTCTGTTGATATGAGTGAACCAAGTTGTCTAGAGTCAGAAAATGTAAATTCTGGAGTTAATGATTTAAATCCTAGACCTCCTGAGATAGAGAATCCAAATGGTCAGAATATTGAGTCACCAAATCAAAAGCCACTGAGAAGGTCAAACAGGACAATCAAAGTCCCAAATAAGTTAGACCTATGATTTTAAAGGTCAAAAGGACTTTGACATCATTGTTTTGTATTTAATTATGTTGTAACATATTGTGCATTGTTTGTAAGGATGTAATCTACCATAGTGTTCATGTTACAATATAATTGGTGATTTTAGGATACTATCAATTGTTCTATTGAGAGATGTGTTGTTGTGTTCTAAGGGTAAAGGGATGTAATATATTGGGATTTGTGAGGTCAGGGGAACTCACTCTTCTGTATTAGTATTATATTTATATTGTTATTGTGAGTGATGTCCCTTGTGCATTGTACTTCCTCTTCCGCCCTCTTTCCATCATGGCTGTAAATAAAGACTGTTAACAATCAATGTGGCTTATCGTCAGTGATTACAATCTATCACAGTTACGCTAGGTGAGTTCATAGGTTTACATTAGTAGGGGGGGGGGGCGGGGTTGGGGGGGGGGAGGTTTTATGTAGTGAAGGGGGTGAGTGTTGTTGTTACTTGGTACCCTATCCCGAAGTCCTTGTTCAGTTCTCGTGCTGTGAGTTGTAATACTCCGGTTTGTACCAGTTTATGAAAGGGTATGTAAGGTGTATGAAAACGTGTGTGATGGCCTCAGTTTTGTCCAGGTCTCCAAGGTTAGTACAGGTTAGGTTTATACTAGTTTTTAGCCACTGTATCTTAGTTTACTAGCTTGTGTATTTTCTGTTTAAACTAGACTGTGTTAGGTGTAGATAGTGTATATAAATTCTTTTAGTTTCAACGAGCCTTTGTTTCAGTCTTGTTTTGTAACCCGTTTGTGGTTATTTGTCTTATGTGTTGCGCTACGCATCGGATCTCCCGAATGGCATGTCCGTGTGTTCACAACAGTGTACTTTACGGTGTTGGAGGGGGGGGGGGGACTATCTTTGGATGAGTCTATTGTTTTACTTTAGTTTGGTAGTAGGGGGCTACTGTATGGGTTTGGAGGGGGGAGTGTAGATTGTAAATCTCGGCAAATTCATTAAGCAGGCGCATGTAACCTTCACCTTGAATGTCTTGCAACCAACAGTCTGATTGCAAACTATACACTTTTGTGTTGATAGATGGGGTCGGAGCGAACTTTCTAGATAGCAAACAAATACAACAAAATAGCATTAGCTTCCTACAACATTGTGTCATGAAGAAGGGCTTCACAAAATGTGTACATTAATACTATTATATTAATACACGGGATACCGTGATGGGTCTGAATAGATCCGCCTTCAAGATAAAACAAACAGTACCTGTGATGTAAAAGATACTGGGTGAACCTGGCAATAGGGCTGGTAAGTTGGTCACCAACCAGTTATATGGCTCATGCAGGTTTTATTGAGCCGTAGAACTGGTTGGTGACTACTTACCAGCCCTATTTTGTTCCAAATGTCCACTCTATATTTTATTTTCTTGTACCACACCCACCCCACGCACCCCAGACCAAGTTGACAAAATATCGATCTAAAGAGTTTGATTGATTGATTTCAGGTGCCAGTCCTTACCCCGGGTTGTCTGCCCATGACGCCTTCAAGTTTGTTAGTGCTGGCAAGAAAATGGAGAAACCTCAGCACTGCAGTTCTGACATGTACATAACTTTAATCCTAACCACACAATCGACAACACACACATCCACTTTGACAACTAAAAACCCACTCAGCTAGAGAAATTTTGATCATTCCACATCAATTACGACAGCAACAAAAGAGTTCCACACAATCACACACAAAAAATTCCACACAACCCCCACCCCCCACATAACTCACCCCAATGTATCTTCTTCTTCTTCTTCGTTCTTAATTATTAGTGTTGAAGGGGATCGAGATTTATCTGCCAGTGGGTTTGAACTCGAGACTTTGTTCGAATTTATCAACCATGAGCTTTTTGCCGACTCGACCACGCCTCCAACACAATTAAGCGTTACGTGTCAACTGGTTATGCGCCATTGAGGCCATTGACTCCGATTTCAGCCTGCTTTTCTTTTAGGATTTGCTTCCATAGCCTTTGTCCAACCAAGAACAAACTACAAGGCAGCAGTTGTTTGATTTTGGAGTTGTCTCTCCTAGAAGAGTGGCTGTCCCCAGCTAACGAGCCTCATCTGCCCGAGGGTTCGAACTCGAGACTTTTCGGTGTAGCAACCATGAGCTTTACCGACTCGACCACGCCGACCCCCACCCCAATGTATAATCCCACCCACTCACAACCCCACACAACTCAACTCCAACAATCCTACACAAAATCCCACCCCCATACAAACCCGCACAATTCAACTCCCACACAAAATCCCACCCCACACAATCCCATCAAAACAAACCCACCCCCACAATCCCACACAACTCACCCCCATACATAATCACAACCATTCACAACCCCACACAACTCAACTCCCACAATAAATCCCACCCCCACACAATCTCCCACCCCCACACAATCTCCTACCCCCACACAATCCTACAACTCAACTCCAACAATCCCACACAATCTCCCACCCCCACACAATCCTACAACTCACCTCCCACAATCCCACACAAAACGCCACCCCAACTCCCCCATAACCAACCAACTAACCCTAACCCTCCCTGTCCCCAGATACGAGCTCATGTGCAGCTGCTGGCCCTTCCTCCCAGAGAACCGTCCAACGTTTGATGCCCTGTAACGCAGGTTCGAGACTCTGCTGGAAAAAGAAAAAGATTACATCAATCTGGAACTATTCCAGAGCGAACAGTACGCTTGTCTGGATGCGGACATATTGGATGAGAAGATATAGGACATAAATGAGAAGATATAGGGCATAAAGCTGGTTGGATTAGAAGATATAGGACATAAAGCTGGTTGTATGAGAATATGACATAAATGAGAAGATATAGGGCATAAAGCTGGTTGGATTTGAAGATATAGGACATAAAGCTGGTTGGATTAGAAGATATAGGACATAAATGAGAAGTTATAGGACATAAAGCTGGTTGATTGAGAAGTTATAGGACATAAAGCTGGTTGATTGAAAAGTTATAGGATATAATTTATAAAGCTGGTTGGATGAGAAGTTATATGATATAAAGCTGGTTGATTGAGAAGTTATAGGATATAAAGCTGGTTGATTGAGAAGTTATAGGACATAAAGCTGGTTGGATGAAAAGATATCGGACATAAAGCTGGTTGATTGAGAAGTTATAGGATATAAAGCTGTTTGGATGAGAAGTTGTAGGACATAAAGCTGGTTGGATGAGAAGTTATAGGATATAAAGCTGGTTGCTTGAGAAGAAATAGGATATAAAGTTGGCTGGATGAGAAGAAATAAGATATAATGCTGGCTGAGTGCAGACATAATAGATAAGTTATAGTAGAATGACTGGGTTATATTAACTGACAGTTGAAGTCACCTAAGAGATCCCGGATGTTACATAACTTACTTGGATTTTGCAGATAACTTTTTTTTTTAAAACCCGAGAAAGTCGATTTAAAAACGAATCAAATCATTCTTCGCAGTGATCTCGTGCAAAATGTTTTTGTTGACACAAGTATTAGACATGCTGACAAGTATAGGGCTGGTAAGTAGGTCAATAAATAGTTCTATGGCTCATGCAGGTTTTATTGAGCTGTAGAACTGGTTGGTGACCTACTTACCAGCCCTATAGTAACGATCGTCCAGACGTGTATGTTTCATTACATACCTACAAGACATTTGAAACCTACCCCATACTCCACAGGACGTTACAGAACAAATATGTTCATAACCCCCCCCCCCCCCTCATCACGAACAAAATGTAAACTCAGTGCTTTGCAATTTATGTGACCATATAAATGAATGACAAGAATCCCATTATTTTTTAGGAAATATTTTATTAAAATAAGACTGTTTTGTAATAATATTCATTATACAACTGTCTGTTGATTTAAGCAAAAGAAACAATAACCTACATTAATAATTGTAATGCATTCAATGATAAAAATAGATAATAATAAATGCAATCTTTTGTAGTTTAGATATTAACGTCAATAAAACATTAAAATTTAATAACTATGAATATAAACACACCTAACTTTATATACAAACATCGTATTCAATAAAAACATTGCAACCATCCATTGTTTGCAGTTGTGTTGTCATGTTATAGTGATGCCTTGTATTCTATAGAACTGTTTTCATCGTTACTATGGACTTATAGTAACTACTTTTACAAATGCTGCCGAGTGTATGGCTTGTAAGACATGTTCTCTCTCACTGTTATTTGATATCTCGCTAGCCAGGGAGAGGTGTGAATTTTCGAACTGAATTTTCTCTTGTGATCATGGTTGCCATTATTAACAAAAAAAAAATGGGGTTATTTGTTTCTAGGTCTCGCCTCAAGATTTAAAAATACCAAGAGTGCATAAAAGAAAAAAGAATTGCGCAGCAAGTGAACGGAAAAAAATATTTAAATAATAGTGCGGAAAACTAGTACTTCATTAATTCATATGCGTTTTTTTAGAAATCGGAAATAGCGTAAAGTTTTACTTCCGGTCAATGAAAATTACTCAAAATTTGAAAGAAAGCAGAGAATTAGATCTTTTACGTTTAAGAGAAATTTCGTTTCTCTATGTGAAACAGTAGGCCTACTCAAGTTATGTTTGCGTTTTTGTTTGTGGTTAGGGTTAATTAAAAAGGTAATATATCTATTAAATCCGGGCTATGCCGGGTATATGCTGAACACAACACACAGGTCATAGGGGGGGGGGGGGGGCGGTAGATGCATGGAAAAAATTCTGGTGCCTGGCCGGCTAGTTTATAATTATTTATATATATATATAAATATAAATATATATGTTAGAGGGATTTAGTTGTTCGAGAAAGAGGGATCATCTGCGATCGCACTTCTGACACCAAAATGTAAGGGGAGGGTTGTTTTTGTCCGATTAAAAGAGAGACATGGTAAGATGGTATTGACCATTATTCTCTCAAATCCGTGCACCTTTGCGTGGTGACAAAGGAGTCTAATAGAGCTGAGCAAAACTAATTAACATCTAAACAAATACAACATTAATTTTACACTAAAAATAAAACTTGGTAAACACCCAGTTAATGCATTTATTTAACTTATCCTACTTCACAAAAATGTATTTTACAAGCAAAAAACAAAAGGATACAAATAAGACCTGGCCAGTTTTCATAATCAAGGAAACATCCCTCGAATTCTTAATACATGGTAAGATGGTATTGACCATTATTCTCTCAAATCCGTGCACCTTTGCGTGGTGACAAAGGAGTCTAATAGAGCTGAGAAAAACTAATTAACATCTAAACAAATACAACATTAATTTTACACTAAAAATAAAACCTGGTAAACACCCAGTTAATGCATTTATTTAACTTCATCCTACTTCACAAAAATGTATTTTACAAGCAAAAAACAAAAGGATACAAATAAGACCTGGCCAGTTTTCATAATCAAGGAAACATCCCTCGAATTCTTAATACATGGTAAGATGGTATTGACCATTATTCTCTCAAGTCCGTGCACCTTTGCGTGGTGACAAAGGAGTCTAATAGACCTGAGCAAAACTAATTAACATCTAAACAAATACAACATTAATTTTACACTAAAAATAAAACTTGGTAAACACCCAGTTAATGCATTTATTTTGTCTTGAGCACTTATATCGGGAGCCAATATGTCGGGAGCCGCTTTATTTTAGAAACATATTTATGGCAATCATCACATTCATCTGGCTTATCTCCAGTATGAACTGTTTTATTTTTTCTAGAAACATATTTATGGCAATAATCACATGATTCATGTGGCTTATCTCCAGTATGAACTTTTCTATGTTTCCTTAAATTAGAACTCAGAGAAAACTTTTTATGACAAACATCACATTCAAATAGTTTATCTTCTGAATGAACTCTTTTGTGTCTATATAAACTAGAACTCCAAGAAAACTTTTTATGACAAACATCACATTCAAATTGTTTATCTTCTGAATGAACTTGTTTGTGTGCATATAAATTAGCACCATGTGAAAACTTTTTATGACAAACATCACATTCAAAAGGTTTATCTTCTGAATGAACTCTTTTGTGTGTATATAAACTAGAACTCTGAGAAAACTTTTTATGACAAACATCACATTCAAATGGTTTATCTTCTGAATGAACTTGTTTGTGTTCATATAAATTAGCACTATATGAAAACTTTTTATGACAAACATCACATTCAAATAGTTTATCTTCTGAATGAACTCTTTTGTGTTTATATAAACTAGTACTCCAAGAAAACTTTTTATGACAAACATCACATTCAAATGGTTTATCTTCTGAATGAACTTGTTTGTGTTCATATAAATTAGCACTATATGAAAACTTTTTATGACAAACATCACATTCAAATGGTTTATCTTCTGAATGAACTTGTTTGTGTTCATATAAATTAGCACTATATGAAAACTTTTTATGACAAACATCACATTCAAATGGTTTATCTTCTGAATGAACTCTTTTGTGTGTATATAAACTATAACTCCAAGAAAACTTTTTATGACAAACATCACATTCAAATGGTTTATCTTCTGAATGAACTTGTTTGTGTGCATATAAATTAGTCATCTGAGAAAACTTTTTTTGACAAACATCACATTCAAATGGTTTATCTCCTGAATGAACTCTTTTGTGTATATATAAACTACTACTCCAAGAAAACTTTTTATGACAAACATCACATTTAAATGGTTTATCTCCTGAATGAACTCTTTTGTGTGCATATAAAATAGAACTCTTAGAAAACTTTTTATGACAAACATCACATTCAAATGGTTTATCTTCTGAATGAACTTGTTTGTGTGCATATAAATTAGAACTCTTAGAAAACTTTTTATGACAAACATCACATTCAAATGGTTTATCTTCTGAATGAACTCTTTTGTGTCTATATAAACTAGAAATATATGAAAACTTTTCATGACAAACATCACATTCAAATGGTTTATCTCCTGAATGAACTCTTTTGTGTGTATATAAATTAGAACTATATAAAAACTTTTTATGACAAACATCACATTCAAATTGTTTATCTTCTGAATGAACTCTTTTGTGTTTATATAAACTAGAACTCTGAGAAAACTTTTTATGACAAACATCACATTCAAATTGTTTATCTTCTGAATGAACTCTTTTGTGTTTATATAAACTAGAACTCTGAGAAAACTTTTTATGACAAACATCACATTCAAATTGTTTATCTTCTGCATGAACTCTTTTGTGTTTATATAAACTACAACTCTGAGAAAACTTTTTATGACAAACATCACATTCAAATTGTTTATCTTCTGAATGAACTTGTTTGTGTGCATATAAATTAGCACTATGTGAAAACTTTTTATGACAAACATCACATTCATATGGTTTATCTTCTGAATGAACGCTTTTGTGTTTATATAAAATAGAACTCTGAGAAAACTTTTTATGACAAACATCACATTCAAATGGTTTATCTCCTGAATGAACTCTTTTGTGTTTATATAAACTAGAACTATATGAAAACTTTTTATGACAAACATCACATTCAAATGGTTTATCTCCTGAATGAACTCTTTTGTGTTTATATAAACTAGAACTATATGGAAACCTTTTGTGACAAACATCACATTCATATGGCTTATCTCCTGAATGAACTTTTGTATGTTCATTTAACCTAGAACTATATGAAAACTTTTTATGACAAACATCACATTCATATGGCTTATCTCCTGAATGAACTTTTTTATGTTCATTTAACCTAGAACTATATGAAAACTTTTTATGACAAACATCACATTCATATGGCTTATCTCCTGAATGAACTTTTTTATGTTCATTTAACCTAGAACTATATGAAAACCTTTTATGGCAAGCATCACATTCAAGTGGCCTCTCCCCTACTTGAGCTTGTTTATTCAAGTTTTGAAAAAACTGTTCATGACAATTATGAGGATCAACAGACAGATATGTTTCATCTTCAGGGAGTTTTAGCTTTTCTTCAAGTCCATTTTGTTGTTTGTCCTCAGAATCTAAAAATTTTGTCCATAAATCTGGTTTTAAATCTTTGTTGGTTGATAAAGTTTCTAATTCTGGTATTATATCTTCGCTAGTTGATAAAGTTTCTAATTCTCGTTTTAGATCTTCACTAGTTGATTTATTTTCTAATTCTGGATTTATATCTTCAGTAGTTGATAAAATTTCTAATTCTGTGTTGGTTGATAAAGTTTCTAATTCTGGTTTTATATCTTCAGATCTTGTACATACTGCTGATACAGCAGGTTCCATATCTTTAAAAATTAAAAATCCTGTTGTTTTATCTTGAGATGTTAGAAATGTCATATGGTGTTTTACATCATCAAAAGAGGAAAATGTTGTACATTCTGACTTTGTGTCTGTAGAAGATGAAAAATCTGGCGTAACAACGGTTTTATCATCCTGTGAAGCTATAAATGTCAAGTTTGGTTTGATATCACGGAAAGTTAAAAATGATAATTCTGTTTTTATGTCAGAAGAAGATGAAAATACTGTAGATAGAAGTGGCTTCACATCTTCAGAATTTGAAAATTCTTTAAACTCATCAAACTGTAAATCTAAATCAGCAGTTGCCTCTCCCATGCTGCTTCTTATAAATAAACTGAGGATTAGATATTTAAATGTTAAAGTGGTGATTATATAGATCTAGAAACTATAGTCAAAACAATGATTTTTCAATAAAACTTCTCAGAAGCATATTAAAACATCTTAGAAATGAATTTAGATAGCTTAAAGTTAACACAATCAATAAACAATTTTAAAAATAAAATAATTAATGAATTGTATATGCCTAAGAGTGGCGGATTATGGTAGAAAATAAAATCAAACTTAATTTTTTTTTTGTTTTATACAATATTTGTACAAAATTAACATGCCATGCTTTTTAAATTGACAGAAGGTAAGTATACCATGTTACAAAAACTGCAATCATAACAATTCATATTGAAAAGAAAAAAAAACAATCATCAATGAGGAAAGCACAACGCTTTATGTTTTTAAAATATGGGGCGACATGACAAATAATAAATCTGGCCAAATGATTGGCTTTGGGCGCAGCACACATCTAAACGCGCCTTGTTTTTCACAAGATTATAATAAAATGGCATTAATGGGGAGGGGGGGGGGGGGTATATGACTGGCATAGTGACCACACCTAAGGACATGAGAATTATTCCCTAACCGTTGTTTAATCATACACGGCATAACATTAGAATCATAGTTTAGAGGTTTATTTGATTGTAAGATCATTTTAAAACAAGAATATACAAAGCTACTTTCACTAAAGTGTCGCTTGCGAGATAAATAAATTAGGTCAAAAGTACACCTTACTATTCTTAATTAACAGACTAAGGTAATCTATGGTTTTATGTACATAAAATCTGCAGAGGCTAGTAATGTTAAGAAGCCAGTAGTGATCTCCCCTAAGCTTTCTTGAATTTTCTTATATAACACTACGGGGGATTGGCAACTCGGGATATACAATATATAGACATGATTTTTAAATCCATGTTTAAGTACTTAAACTTTTTAAAATAGAATAGAATCTTGTAGAAAAAAGAATTGCGCACCAAGGAAACGCGAAACAAAATGTGTATAATAGTGCGGAATATTATTAGTACTTTATATATTCACATGCATTTTTGAGAAATTGGAAATAGCCTCCATTACTACTTCTGGTCAACGGAAATTACTCTAAATTTGAAAGAAGGTGGAAAATTAGATCTTTTACTTACATATGAAATTTTATTTGGCTATCTGAAACAAAACTCAAGTTATAGGCTTTTGAAAAATTTAAAGTAGAATAAGTTCCACTTCCGGTTAATCAGAAATCGCTGAAAAGTTGATACAGAACTAGAAATTTGATATACTATTATACTTATATATGAAATTTTATCAACTGTACTCAAGTTATCGTGATCACAGACACACATACACTGAAAGAATTGCAAAGCCCAGTTTTTCAGACTCGATTATGCATAAAACATCAAAAATTTGATAAATGTGGGTTTATAATTTTTGCCAGATTAAAGTAAGTCTTCTAGGTAATCCCTTAGTTTAGCGTCGGTTATTATTCCGGAATCGTATAGCAGTAAAAAACAGTAAAACAATGCCAAAGTCTGTCACACACTTCCGGAATTCACCGGAAGTACTGTAAACCATACTTTATTTGGCGTCATCTTTTATTTTTATACAGAATGTTTAAATTTTGGATAGATTTATTTTTGTAATCATTTTTACATTTTGTAATCATTTTTACTATTTTCGTAATCTAGATTTTTTTTACTTGGTCTAGCAGCTAGATATCTATCTAGATCTAATTAATTAATGGTCGCAAATCCGCTGCAAGCCAAAAACATTAAATTATTACATTTGACTTCATTATTTATATTAATATGTTTTTTTTTAATTTTTAGATCTACTAATTTAAATCTACTATTATATTTATTCTTGTTTCCTTTAGTCGATTAAACTTAAAAAATTAAAACATTAATTTACTACAATCGACTTTCAATTTATTTATATTTCAATGGTCAAATAAACCATGGTTTACCGTAACTCTAATTACCGAAACTCAACAAACATTACCCGATAATTTCCGACGCTAAACTAAGGGATTACCGTCTTCTATACTCCAAATGAAGGACTGAGGTGAAAAACTGATAAAACTAATAATGCTTTACGTTCTCGCTCATTTCTGTACCTACACTGTTGATATTTTTTAAATTCTATTAATTTTAATGAAACCAATTTTTGAATTTAGCCTCCGTTCTCCAAACCAAATTTTAAAATGCTTTTCTGGCATATCTAACCCTGCCTGCCACTTATGGTTTGTTGTTATGACACGGAAATCCCGCCATTTTGCGCGTGGTAAACATTTTTAAATGTAATTAGTTGAAGGTCTCTGGAATTTGGCCGAAAAATCACCGGAAATCAGACGTCCGGTCCGGGCGCCATATTGTTGTTAGCAACCGACCACGCATCCAAGTTAGAGAGAAATACTACTGTATAGTGTATACGAGAAAGAAAAAAAGGGTGACGTATCAAATTTTTGTAATTAGTTGGCATTTTTAGAAGGATTCACATTTTGAAAGCTACAAAAATGTTACAAACTTTTATTGATGTGCGTGTTTTAAAACATCAGTAGTAAAACTTTTCAGTAATAAATAAAGATTAACGATGTTTTTACTTGATGCAACCAAGCACATTTACTAAAGCAGCCATCTTGTTTAAGCTAGAGATTCAAGGGAAACCACCCTAATTTACAGTTGGCCGCTGTTTATATAGCAAATCTTGCTCGCAAAATAGGCTGTTTAAAGTTAATTTCTGGCTTATATTGATAATATATTTGGACACTGATTTTGGTTTATTATTCAATTATCTATTACTATTATATTTGACACAAAACTATTAGTATTAATCGCTACCTTGGAGGTGTGTATCGTTGCTAACATCAATATGATGTCCACACCAGATGCATGACTTTCAAAGATTTTTCATCTTAGCTCCAGTGACCTTCTTACAATTAGTTTTTAAAACGTTTACCAAGAGCAAAAATGTTGGTTTTTCACGGTATACAAACAAGCTATAGGTGGCAGGGCAAAATATGCCAGAAAAACATTTTAAAATTTGCTTTGGAGAAGGAAGGTATATTTAAAAGTTGGTACCATTAAAAATGATAGAACTTTTAAAATATTAGCCCGGGAAGTAGAAAAATGAATTGAAGATTGAAGAACTATTAGGTTTATCAGTCTATTAAAAAATATATCCAATATATATATATATATATATATATATATATATATATATATATATATATATATATATATATATATATATATATATATATCCAATATATAATACAACATAATTAGTTTAAAATGTTAGTACAATCTCTAGGCCTACCCCCATGCATGTAAACCACAATACAAACAACTCTGTAGTGGCAGTGGTCACTTTTTCTACTGTTGGTAATACAGAAATGTGTAGAAATATCTAAGAATTTTTTTTAGCAGGCCTGAACTATAACAAGTGGTAGGCGTACAACACAAATGTACACTGTCGTATGCCTGCTTTTACAACATACCCAGGTATATGGCTAATTTCCACATCAAAATCTAAAACCTTATGTTGCACCATTTCACCACCAATGTCCCCCACCTTGATATGCGCGATGACGTAAAAAAAATATTGTGGAAATTCGTAAGTAACATCGCAGGATTACAGAAACGTTATTTTTACTAAGAAATCACTTCAGAAGTGGGGTTGGTGTGGTCGAGTCGGTAAAGTTCATGGTTGCTAAACCGATATGTCTCGAGTTTGAACACTCGGGCAGATGAGGCTCGTTAGCAGAGGACAGCCACTCTTCTCGAGTACAAACCCACTGGCAGATAAATCTCGATCCCCTTCAACACTAATAATTAAGGACGAAGAAGAAGAAAAATGTGTTATAGCTTAATTAATTTTTGTTAATTCTTATTGATTTCATAGATTTTAATTAGTGTAAGTTTAATATAATATTATTCTCACTGTTCTTTGTTGATATACTTTTATTAGGCTAAATAATGTTTATATTATTAAGATTTAAGAGGTCTGAAAAATTAAATGATTTTAGTGTTGGGTCTAGGCTTACATTACTAATTAGTACTTAGTAATTAGAATTATTAATTAGAACTTGGGCTAACAAAGTACTTGGACTAGATTTGGAACACGCTCATACTGTGCTTTGAGTTTTCTCTCACCAGTTTACAAAAGAACTCAGGTGGGCTGCAATGTTTGTAATTTGCCTATATCTTTCGGTCACAGGCGATCATTTTAATGTGATAGGCCTCTTAATTTTATAGGCCTGATGAATTGTATTTGATAGGTTAACTTTTCTAGTTGACAAAACTACTTGAGTGAGCATCTGTCTGTCACTACGCAAGCGAGATGCATGTCATGGGCACTGCCAGTGATGCTGTTTAGAATGCGTTTCTCGATAACTTGATCAATTTTAATGTGATTACAGTTAAAAAAAATAGATAAAAATCTTAACAATATTTTAAACTCAGCATGGACAAAGCTTTGTGAATAACACACAGGTTTCAAGTCGAGTAAGGGAGGAGGGATAGATTCATTTTACAATGACATAGCTATCATTTATAAATTGCCCTGATTAAACATTACTAAAACACACTAATTAAGCCTAATCAAAACTGAAATAAACATGCATATGAATATCTTTTAAAAGTTTAGATCTAGATCTATATTATATATTCTTAAACATTTAAAACGTGATTATTTTTGGATCATTCATTAGCCTATATTAAAAAAATAGTAAATATGTTACATGACAAAACCAAGTTACGAGCATCCTTTCAATTATGTTTTATTGACACATACCGACACTCCACCCTCCCCTCACTTGATCCTTACTAACTTCCAAGGTCCCTCTCCTGTCAATTTTGTGGACCAGATCTAAGAATGATTGTCACGGGAAAAGCTGTCCCAGCTAAGCTAAAAAGCACCAATAATTAAAATCCTGTATTTTAGCCCCAAATTTACAAATTAGCTAAAACCATCAAATGTAGTTAGTAGTTAGAGATAGGGTAAAGGAGGGCGTTAAGAGCCGTGTGGTATTAAGCCCCAAACAACACCCCACCCCCACAAAACCCCCAATCACACTGCTAATCTACTTCTGAGGTAACAACCACTGCTGTTCTTTGATAACAGAGAAGCAGAGGATTCATTTTATGTAATTTATGACCCACTTGGTCCAATAGGGAGAGGATGAGACAGGATTTAATCCCACTGCTCTTTCCCTAAAATTTCTCATCTCCATAAAACCATTTTGTGAACTTTTTTTTTCCAAATAGACATAACTTGGGAAACTTCACTTTGTAATAAACCAAATGAATTTTTCAAGCCCATTTTTTGTTCCTGTATTAGAGCATTGGTTGTTGTACATTTTAACACTATTTTTATAGCTATGGCTAGAATAGTTTTATTTTGGTGAATTTTTTTTGCACAGTGATTATTGGTGCCAAAACAAAATGGCCGACATTTGTCCCATTTTACCATGCTATAAAGTTTTTATCATTATCAGAGTAAAACTTGACTGATCATTACCATAATGGTTTTATTTGTTAGATAATAACTAAATCTACATGAATACATTAATTTTGTCCACTAGCTTGCCTGTTCAGAAAAGTTATAACAGATACTGTTATGTGGCTCTTGATACCCTATGTGCAAGTTTCTCATTGATTAGACCACTGAATAAGACACTGGTTTAGGACCACGCCTCCAACACAATTAAGCGTTACGTGTCAACTGGTTATGCGCCATTGAGTAGGTAGTCCAAACTGGCGAAAAAGTGCGTTTTAGGGTCAGTTTTTGCGGTTTTCAAAAAAAAAAAATTCACTACTTCTAGTTGTCCTATAAGAATAAAAATTATATGTCAATAAAGTTTAAGTCTTTATCTGTCGTAATCTGGTATTTTTATATCTGTAACACATGTCTGAATGTGTTTTATATTTGTTTGAAAAGTATCAGTTACGTCAACAAATTTCACCGTTTTGCGTGTACCGATCGACCCCACACTGTTTTATTTGGTCGCGGCTTCGCGACGAAGCATCGTAGAAGCATAATCTTAATGTCATTTTAAAGATCGAATTCTAGGCTATCGTTTGATGTATAAATTGAAAAAATAACTTGTTTATTTCATTTAAAAAATACAGATTTTAAACTTTAAATGACGATATATACACGGAAACAAACTAATTCTGTTTCAATTTTTACACCGATGTAAAGTTCAGTTTTATAACTACTTTGTGTTGTAAATTCAAGTATTTCTGATTTACGGTCGCGAAGCCGTACCCCCAATAAACATATAACCCTCGAGTCGACTTTCAGCCCCGAGTAAGTTGCTCGCCGAACGGTTTTAAAGGTTGACGACCGATGATGCTAAACGGATTTTACCCTTGCTAGAGCCTTCAAACAAGTTGTAAGTATCATTTTTAAAGTTTCATTTCCATTTTAATAAATGAATTTTAAGTTTGAATGTCAGTTTGGTTTAATTAGTACACGTTATTAATGTAAATTTGAACGCTTCAAGTCCACGGTTTTAGCGTGTGAACTACGCTTGTACACAGGGTGTGTTTAGACGTGAAGCTATTTAATTCAGGACATTCTAGGGACTTAAAATATGGATGCACTTAACTATTAGATGCTAGTGTTTACTAATTCTTTAAAATCTATTGACTGGGATCAATGATAGGGTAGTATTACTACAGTTTATCTGGACTATCACGTCAAAACTATGAATCGACAAATTCAAAATGGCCACCAGACTATCCTGGTTACTATGTGGACGAACTCAATTATTTACAGGGAACGAAGGTTAAATACTTATAAAATATTAATGAAACACAAAAGAAATGTATAATTATAATAACTATACATTTTTATCGATTTATTTAAAACAAAAGACACTAAATTTTAAGGACTAATGTGATTAATTTTTTTTTATTTTCTGTTGTGTGCTCTGATTCTGATTCCCCTGCTAAATAATGTGAAATGGTCTGCGCCAGTCTCCGTAATAAAATGTACCAGATCAATTTTTAGATGGTGGTGCAATTTATTAAGATTCTACATGTTGTGACTTAGTTTTAAATGTTATATTAGTTGTAAGTGTAAGTAGTACTAGTAGTATTTCTCATTATTTATTTATTTTATATGCATATAATAGTAACAATGAAGGACAGTTAAGTTGTCCTATAGGATGTTGAGAACCACAGTATGGCATCTTCATTATTGGATATCTCAACCAGTGTGGCACAAGCAACGAATATTTCAAATTTCATTCAGTAGAATTACTCTTAAAAATATATATAAAGTATAAAGTTCTTTTAACAAAAAGGTGTTTTCAGGCTTTTTCATATGTTTCCAGTTATAGTCATAGGACAAATAGTAGGCCTACACAATAGGCTGGTAGTAAATTTAATTCTATTTTATTAATCACTAAATCAATTGTTTATTCTATAGCTGGAGACATTTACAGTGGCCTATCCAGAACTTTCCTTACAAGGGAAGGGAAGAAGGCCAAGACCCCACTCCCCCCTACAATTCCCAAAACATATTACTTACTCTTGATGCTCCACAAGATCAAGGTTGAGGGAAACAAGACGTACAAAGATGTGGAGTTGTAGTTTTAAAAACTGTTCCCCCAAAGCAGTTATCAACCGTATAGGTTTGAAAAGAAACCAAAGCATGTGGCATCAACTGCTGCATCACTTGTAGGCATCACGTCTTTATTAAACTACATTACATTACATTTACTCTACTAAATTTTGATTCTGTTTCTCCTGCACTAGATAACTGTGGTATTTTTTAAAATAATATTTTAACTCATGTGATTTTTGAAAATAATTAACACATTTTTCCACGTCGATGTTACCAACACAATAGTTTTAGAGTTATTCCAAAGCAAAAAAAAAAAAAATTGAATTTTTTTTTTTAAATGAAAATAAAAGTGACCAAAACGCATTTTTGTCATTTTCAATTATTTTTTTACCTTAGAAAGACTCATTTTAGATGACTGAAAAAAATTGGGCATATATATTACAAACTTTGCAGCAACTTTACCAATTTCTACACTTCTATGTTATTTAGTTTAAAAAATATGGGTTCTCAAAAATGGCACTTTTTGAAAATCAGTTTTTTACCAAATTTTACTTTTTTAAAAATCGCATAACTTTTTTATTTATTGAGATATTTTTATAAAATTTGTGGCATAGACCTTACAATTAAAAGTTCTTTCATGACATACTCACTCCAGAAGTCTGCAATCAATAGTTAATTTCAGTTTGGACTACCTACATTGAGGCCATTGACTCCAATTTCAGCCTGCTTTTGTTTTTGGATTTGCTTCCATAGCCTTTGTCCAACCAAGAACAAACTACAAGGCAGCAGTTGTTTAATTTTGGAGTTGTCTCTCCTAGAAGAGTGGCTGTCCCCAGCTAACGAGCCTCATCTGCCCGGGGGTTCGAACTAGACCATTTGTACATGTTTTTTGGGGTTAGGATGAATAGGATGGTCTATCTATAGAATGTGCACTTGCAATCGCGGATTTTTCGAGTTCGCTATTCGGCACCCTGGACCGAACTGCCGCTCATAACGAACCAGGTGCATCTGAGAAGTAGGCAAAAGACTGGCAAAACCCACGGACCATGCGGGTTACAATACAAGATACGAGATTCTTCAAAGTTTTTCCAGACTGCCTAGCTTAAGAATGATGCAGGAGTAGGCGATGGCCGTGCTAGAAATAGATAATTTGTCGTGAAAGCGAGATGGCTAGTTGAAGATACTTTTTTTCTAAAATGGTGAAATAGCTTATTTATTTTTTAATTTAATTTTTTTTGTAAAAATTGCCTTGAGCTTTAACCGTCTTAAGATATTTGAATTGATACTATGAAAAACAATAACTTTTTTTCTTGATAAAAAAAATATGCTGCGTTCCCTTCAAAATACAAGTAAAATGAATTGTTCTTATGTTATTACTTTTTAAATAAACCGAGAGTGATCTCCCCTAAACTTTCTCGAATATTCTTATGTAAAATAAACCGGGAGTGATCTCCCCTAAACTTTCTCGAATATTCTTATATAAAAAACAAGGGATGGGAACTCGGGATATAGACATGAATTTTAATCCATTTTAAAAATTAAAACTTTTTAAAAATAGAATAAAATCTCGTAGAAAAAAGAATTGCACACCAGTGAACGCCAAATAAAATGTGCTTAATATGCGGAATATTATTAGTACTTTATAAATTTACATTAATTTTTGAGAAATCGGAGATATCGCAAATTAGTACTTCCGGTCAACGGAAATTACTCAAGATTTGACAGAAGGTAGAGAATTAGATCTTTTACTTACATGTTTAATTTCATTTATCTATCTAAAATAGTACTCAAGTTATAGGCTTTTGAAAAATTCAAAGTAAAAAAAGTACCACTTCCTGTTATCGGAAATCGCTCAAAAGTTGATACGGATCTACGATTTTGATAACATACTTATATATGAAATTTCATCAATCTAGCTGTAACGGTTCTCAAGTTATCGTGTTTACAGACACACAGACACACATACACACGAACAAGATTGCAAAATTATGTTTTTCCGTATCAGTGAGGTGTAAAATGTCGAGATTTTTGCACGATTACAAGCCAATCTTTTATTTAATGAATTCAGCTGCCCTACGCCGTCGCCGGTAAAACAACAGCGGAAACAGTCTTACGTCACTTCAGACAGGAAACCGGCCTACGTCACATCCGACACGATTTCTCTGAGCAGCCGATCGAGGCAGACGGCGCGGCGGGGCAGCATGTCCAGCCAGTGCAGCAGTGTGGCCACGGAGAGCTGCTTTGGTCGCATCACCAGCATAGACGAGGTGGAGGAGGAGCGGATCTCGTCCAGCGATCTCTTCGCTTTCTGCCTACAGGTGGCGCGGGGTATGGGGCATCTGGCTGAGAACAAGGTGATAACAGGTGGGGACAGGTACAGGTGGTGGTGGTGGGGACAGGTGGTGGTGGGGACAGGTACAGGTGGTGGAGGGGCTAGGGGTGGGTGGTAAATACAGGTGGCGCGGGGTATGGGGCATCTGGCTGAGAACAAGGTGATAACAGGTGGGGACAGGTACAGGTGGGGACAGGTGGTGGTGGGGACAGGTACAGGTGGTGGTGGGGCTAGGGGTGGGTTGGTAGATACAAGTGGGGCGGGGTATGGGGCATCTGGCTGAGAACAGGTGGGTACAGGTACAGGTGGTGGTGGGGACAGGTACAGGTGGTGGTGGGGCTAGGGGTGGGTTGGTAGATACAAGTGGGGCGGGGTATGGGGCATCTGGCTGAGAACAAGGTGAGAACAGGTGGGGACAAGTGGTGGTGGTGGGGACAGGTACAGGTGGTGGTGGTGGGGACAGGTGGTGGTGGGGACAGGTGGGGCAAGGGGTGGGGAGATAGGTACAGTTGGGGATAGGGGTGGGGACAGATGAGGCAAGGGGTGCGATGGTACATGGGGACAGGTGGGGGCTGGCGGTTGTGTGGTTCGTAGGGGTATAGGAGCATTCAGCGTAGACCATTTAATAGGGCATCTAGGCTAGACATTAAAACGATAATACGTAGGGATCGAAAAGGACATTGATGGAATTTATTTAAGACGCAAAAGGACAATTAGTTGTGAAAAAAATGGAAATTTTATTAAGACAGTAAAAGGACAATTATTTGCGTCTAAGAAACCAAATCAAGACAACAAAAGGACAAATATTTTTGAGAAAAACTGTTTATAAAAATGGGAAATAACTCCAGTTGACTTTTTTCTTTGACCAGATTGTCCACAGAGATCTGGCAGCTCGCAATGTGTTGGTCACTGACAGGGGCGTGTGCAAGATCACAGACTTCGGGCTGGCTCGATGTCTGGGGGACACTGACCACTACGACAGGTCGTCGAAGGTTCGTGAATTGGTTAAATTATGGTTAAATAGTCAAAGGTTCGTGAGTTGGTTAAATTATGGTTAAATAGTCAAAGGTTCGTGAGTTGGTTAAATTATGGTTAAATAGTCAAAGGTTCGTGAGTTGGTTAAATTATGGTTAAATAGTTGGCTCGATGTCTGGGGGACACTGACCACTACGACAAATCGTCGAAGGTTCGTGAATTGGTTAAATTATGGTTAAATGGTCAAAGGTTCGTGAATTGGTTAAATTATGGTTAAATAGTCAAAGGTTCGTGAGTTGGTTAAATTATGGTTAAATAGTCAAAGGTTCGTGAGTTGGTTAAATTATGGTTAAATAGTTGGCTTGATGTCTGGGGGACACTGACCACTACGACAGATCGCCGAAGGTTCGTGAATTGGTTAAATTATGGTTAAATAGTCAAAGGTTCGTGAGTTGGTTAAATTATGGTTAAATAGTTGGCTCGATGTCTGGGGGACACTGACCACTACGACAGATCGTCGAAGGTTCGTGAATTGGTTAAATTATGGTTAAATGGTCAAAGGTTCGTGAATTGGTTAAATTATGGTTAAATAGTCAAAGGTTCGTAAAATCCATTGGTTAAATTATGGTTAAATCGTCGAAGGTTCGTGAATTGGTTAAATTATGGTTCAATCGTCGAAGGCTCGTAAACTCCATTGGTTAAATTATGGTTAGATCGTCAAAGGTTCGTGAACTGCAATGGTTTAAGGTAAATTATGTTTTCAGTTATTCGTCGAAGGTTCACTAACTTCATTAGTTTGATTATTGTTTGATCGTCGGTTTTTTAACTTGTTTTACTTATAGTCGCGGAAGAAACTCCAAACTTGCTCTAGTTCAGTTGCCACATAATTTGGCCAGAAAATAATTGTTTTATCTGTAGAAAACAAGCATATGTCAATTTGGTGGCTTTAGCATTTGGTTAGAATATTTAAACTAAATATTATGTTTCAATGCATCCTATTGTGAGTTTGTGTGGCGACGTGGTCGAATGGTAGAGCGTTGGAGGCCAGCCCCAAAGTCTCGAGTTCGGTCCTGGTTTTGATTAATCCACCAAGCTCTGATGGGTACCAGACAATACGTTGGGCATAGTGCTGACCACGCCATCCCTTCATATGCCGAAGTCAAGAAACATGAACCCTAGTTCATCTACACAATGGATCGCTACGTCTAAAGAAACAGGGTTCGTGCGGCCTCCTGAAATTCCAGGAGGTCCAGGAAAACTCCTGGAATCTTAAAAAAACGTAAAAATCTCCTGGAATTCTCCTGGAATTTGAAAAAATATGAAAACCTCCTGGAATTCTCCTGAAATTTTAAAAATTCTTCTGAAATCTCATGAAATTTTATTAACCCGCGGCGCAAAACCCGACCGAAATTATTTGATTTTGTTCCGCCAATAATTGAATAGTAGTTTTTAAATGGAACGAAAATAAAAATAAACGCATCGGCCGTCGTCCGACTGAATCGCACTGCCGTGATCTACACATCGTGTGGCACAGCCTAGTGTGTGGTCACGTGACGCTAGGCGATTGACCCGATTGGATGATACTATAAACAATTTCTAAAGATAGATAGGCCTACATGTGTTCCCGTGTTTGACTTGTCGGCTTTTGGATTTTTAAAGTAGACAGGCATGTTTCATAACTTTGTCTTAAACTATTGAAACAGCAAAAACAAATTGTAGTAGTATTTACGGCTCAAAATTAATCTTCTTTAGAACACCCGGATAGCTGCGACCCGATCAAACAATGCTGATTCGCGTAACGTTTCATTATTTTATTTTATACTTCTACATTAATTTTTCGTAAAAATGGCTATAGAAAATAAATTAAATTTTTCCAGTGGCTCTTTTTTTCGGTTGTAATAGATTGGGATTTGTGAGGTCAGGGGAACTCACTCTTCTTGTATTAGTTATATTTATAATGTTGTTATTGAGTGATGTCCCTTGTATTTATCTATTGTTACTTCCTGTTCCGGCCTCCATCATGTTAGCAGAGGTCCAATAAATGTATATACAAACAGCATGGCTTCTCGTCAGTGTGTTATAATAGAACCACTCCAATCTACCTCATCGGTTGACTAAAAATTGTTAATACGCTTAATACTAGCTTGCCAAATCGACCAAAATGGGCTGGGGTGGGTGGGGGAAGACACTGACCATCCTACACGGTATGTAACACCCAACGTAACATCCATAGCTCAACCCGCCCCCACTACTCCGTGACGCGACAAGCCGACGATTGTCGCCTTTAATGTTGTGTAACACTCGTACGGTGGTTTCATACTCCACCTCCCTTCCCCCTTCATTTTGTGGAGTTGATGTTACTAATCTTTGGGCATAGATCAAGAAATCTTGCCAGACTTTTGTCTCTGAAATTACATAATATTCGTCTGACACGATCATCGGGTCGGCCGACTAGCCTAGCATCATTGGATTTGGCATCCAAAAATCAATAAAATATCACGAAATGATATTAATTGGTGAAGACTGCTTGCATTTATACCTCTTTTATAGTGAAAAACTCTTTAAAATTTGGTCCATACCCTCCCAGTATTTTTCCTCTTTCAGGGTCTACCCCGGTTGTCTGAAAAATCTGCTATTTTTTTAATGACAAAAAAAATCATAACTTTTTTGTTTATGGTCAGATTTTGAAAATTCAAATTCTGTAGTCAGATTGATAGCCTCTATCCTAATATGTAACTAATATATTGTTTTACTTTTACTGAAATTAAATTTTTGCATTGGCTTAGATAATTAAATGTATTATTAAGTACGCTTTTTAAAAAAAAATGTACAAATTGGGTTCTTTTTTGTTTTTAAAATCTCCTTGAATTTTTTTTTTTAAACTCCTGGAAAAGTCCTGGAAAACTCCTGGAATTTTATTTGAACTTTTGAGCATGAACCCTGAAGAAAGTATTTTTTACTTTCTTTATTGCTAGCTGGTGGCAAATACCAATGCTGATTCACCTTGCTATGGCTTACATTATTAGGACTAGGACATTGATTCCTTTGTAGAATCTTCCAACTGTGTTTTATTCGTTTCAAGCATTAATTTTCATACTTCGTTTTAGATTCGAACCCGTTACCGTTAAAGCGGCGTAGGTGAAGTAGATTATAACAGAAGTGGTAGGTGAATGATAAATCTAGTTTAAAACAAGTGTTTTTCTAAACTTGACAGGGCCCACTGCCGGTTAGATGGTTGGCACCAGAAAGTTTGATTGACAGAACACACAGCACCAAATCTGATGTCTGGGCCTGCGGCTTTCTTCTGTGGGAGATCGTTACGCTAGGTGAGTTCATAGGTTTACATTAGTAGGGGGGGGGCGGGGTTGGGGGGAGGTTTTATGTAGGGAAGGGGGTGAATGTTGTTGTTACTTGGTACCCTATCCCGTTCGTCCTTGTTCAGTTCTCGTGCTCTGAGTTGTAATATTCCGGTTTGTACCAGTTTATGAGGTAAACGGAAAAAAAGTCACAGGAAAAAAAAACACAGAAAAAAAGTCACAGTTTTTGCTAGGAAAAAAAGTCACAGAAAAAAAGTCACAGTGGAAAAAAAATTTTGGAAAAAAAGTCACAGAAATAAAGTCACAGAAAAAAAGTCACAAAGATATTTTTAGAAATATTTTTTTAATTTGTTTAGAATTGTAAAATTTTGTATGTTTCTTGTTGTGGGTTGTATTTTTTTTATAGCATAAATTATTTATAGACGTTAAAAGCATTATGGTTTATAACAATTGTAAGTTAAAATACTCTAATATAATTTACACAACAATCTCAACTTTTGTTACGTATTTAGTTAAAAACGCGGTAGAAAATTTAACTATAAAAAAAATTTAGGCACATTTTGCCGTAGGCTATTCTCTGGTCGGCCTCTCCTCAGTAGGCATTGTCCGAACATATTTTGTGTAGTTGACGTCATGCGTCAATGACAGCATTTGAACCTTGTCGGCTTTCTTTTTTGATCCTAAGTGTTTTAAGTAATGAGCTTGATAAATGTGGGCAGTAAAGGTGGTTGAACTAAACATCTAAACATAACTATTGTGGCCATGAGTTGAGGGCAGCAAGTCAGACGAACTTACCATTTCACGGTAATTTAATGTTGGTATTTTAAAAAAAACAGGATTAAAACCGTCACATTTATATTGGAGTTATCCATGACAGTGAAGAGAACAAATACATCTTCTGGTACATAGCTCAGGCTTTGGTTTTTTAAAGGTAATCTACTAAGACTATCTGCACTATTCTCAGATCCAGGTTTGTATTTCAATTCATAATTGTATGCAGTTAATGTGATAGCCCATCTTTGAATTCTTGGTGAGGCATGCTCAGGTAGGGTTTTGTTTTCTCCAAATAAACCTAGCAATGGTTTATGATCTGTAAAGATGGTGAACTTCCTACCAAACAGAAACTTATGAAATTTCTTAACACCAAAAATGATGCCTAAGCCTTCCCTATCTAACTGAGAATAATTTTTCTCAGCCTGGTTCAAAGATCTACTGGCAAAAGCAATGGGTCTGTCACCCTTCTCATCCATGTGGGACAAGACTGCTCCTACACCATCTGGTGAAGCATCACATGTTAATATAAGTCTTTTCCCTGGGTCATAGTGAGTTAGTAAGGTGTCAGAAGACAAAGCCTCTTTTGCTGTATTAAAAGCAGTATCTTGTTGTTTACCCCAGTGCCAAGTTGCATTTTTCTGTAGCAGCTTGTACAGTGGTGATAGTTTACCAGACAGATTCCCTATGAACTTTGCATAGTAATTTATTAAGCCCAAAAAAGCTCTTAGTTGTTGGGTATTTTCAGGTTTGGGTGCTTCTTTAATGGCTTTTGTTTTCTCAGGTTGAGGTCTAATGCCTTGTTTGCTCAATATATAACCAAGAAAACTAATTTCTGTCAACATGAATTGACATTTATCTTTGTTTATCTTTAAACCTTTTTCACCAACAATTTTCAATACTTTATCAAGTGTTTTAAGATGTTCAGTGTCATTCTTACCAGTTATGTACACATTGTCAAAGTACACACAAACATTTGGAATGTCCTTAAAAATACTGTCCATGACAGCTTGGAAAATTCCAGGGCTAGATGATATGCCAAAACATAGTCTTTCATATTGGTAGAGTCCTTTATGTGTGTTTATTGTCGTATAGACTTTTGAATCTGGATGCAGTTCTAGTTGAGTGTAAGCATGACTAAAGTCTAATTCAGTGAATTTGTCTCCTCCTGCCAAATTCAAAGAGATTTCCTCAATGTTAGGTATAGGATACCTATTTAGCTCTATTTGCTTATTCAGTGTAGTTTTATAATCTCCACAAATTCTTATAGAACCATCCTTCTTTAACACTGGCAAAATGGGCGACGCCCAATCGGAATAGTCTACCTTCTTTATGATGCCATTAGATTCCAATCTACTTAGCTCATTTTCAATTTTATTCCTCATTGCATAAGGTGGGACTCTAGCTTTGCAGTATCTTGGATTTGTGTCTTTAATGCTTAACTTCACTGTTCTATCATTTAGTAATCCTGGATTACCAAAAACACATTTATTTTCAGATATAACTCTATCTAGTGAAGTAAGACTAGATTCTTTTACATTCTTCAATGAACAAATACTCTCCCAATTTAACTTAAGATCACTTAACCAGTTCCTACCTAGTAATGGCGGTCCATTTCCTTCAACCACAAGAAGAGGAAGTTTAACACTTTGACCATTATAACTTACATGAACCATACACTCTCCTATTACCGGAACATTGTCACCAGTGTATGTTGTTAGACACTTGTGACATGGCTGTAGAGGCACTGATCCTCCTGTGACAGCGTCAAAATCTTTCTTTGTTATGACTGTTAGAGATGCTCCAGTGTCAAGTTGGAAGCTGATGCTCTTACCGTTGATATAAACTGGTACATTGATGGGAGCATGACTTATTGATTTCACAGAGAACAGGTTGAAATCCGGCTGCGAATCAGTTTGAGCATTTTCACAGGTAGAGTGGTTCATTGGTTGGGTTAGGTAGTCTTGGTGAGAGTTAACATAGTGCTGCCTTTGGTTGCGGTACTGTCTTGACTGGCTAGATTTAGCAACAGACGAAGACTTTGCAAAGCAGGCCTTGGCAATGTGACCTTGCTTACTGCACTTATAACAAGTTGCAGACTTGAACTTGCACCGATGAGATGCATGGGGACCCTTGCATCGATGACATTTTTGATAATTATTACTAGATTTAGATCTAGGATTTGAACGAGCAGGCTGTTTAGCATAAGTTGGAATGCTCTGATGGGGTTGATGTTTATTGACTAACCTGCTGTTTACTGCATGGATCTCTGAAGGTGCTAAAGATCTCGCCGCATCTGATGACTGCTGGAATGACATTGCAAGTTGTATTGCTTTTTCCAATTTTAGATCTGACTCGAGCAGCAACTTTCTTTGAATATCAGGGCTGTTTACACCTGTCACAAACTTTTCACATAGTCTGCCAGACAGCGTGTCTCCGAATTCACAGAATCTACTTAAATGACGTAAAGCAGCAACATATTCTGATATTGACTCGTTTGGTTGACGAGTCCTACTGTCAAATCTAGCTCTACATAGAAACTTTGATGGTACAGGCGCATGGTGGTCTGTTAGCAATTTGCTCAGCTCGTTAAAGCTCTTGGTAGTTAGACTAGCTGGTGCGCATAAGTCCTTTAGTAGCCTAAATTGTTGAGGCCCTATGACTGTTAACAAAACAGCTCTCTTTTTGGCTTCTATCGTCACGTTGTTAGCTTCAAGGTAAAAGCTTAACCTATCTAGGTAATCTTGAATGATTTCATCATTCGCATCAAATTCTTTTATTTGGCCATACAGCGCCATTATTCTAGAAATAATTAGCTAATAAGCTCTAGCAAACCTCTTTTTTGCGTAAGTAGGTGCTCTTTCTAGTCGATGTTTATCCTTCAATGGATACCAGGTCAAATTGTTCAATGTACAGGACCTGTGCCTTATAAAGTTAAAAATAACTTGTGCAGATAATAAGTGTGAATCTGTCAATCCCACCAAGTCTGATCAGTTCACACCAACTCAGTTGGTTCCACAACCAAGTTCTGTTGATATGAGTGAACCAAGTTGTCTGGAGTCAGAAAATGTAAATTCTGGAGTTAATGATTTAAATCCTAGACCTCCTGAGATAGAGAATCCAAATGGTCAGAATATTGAGTCACCAAATCAAAAGCCACTGAGAAGGTCAAGCAGGACAATCAAAGTCCCAAATAAGTTAGACCTATGATTTTAAAGGTCAAAAGGACTTTGACATCATTGTTTTGTATCTTGATTATGTTGTAGCATATTGTGCATTGTTTGTAAGGATGTAATCTACCATAGTGTTCATGTTACAATATAATTGGTGATTTTAGGATACTATCAATTGTTCTATTGAGAGATGTGTTGTTGTGTTCTAAGGGTAAAGGGATGTAATATAGTGAGATAATTGTGAGGTCAGGGGAACTCACTCTTCTGTATTAGTATTATATTTATATTGTTATCTTGAGTGATGTCCCTTACATGTTGTTATCTATATATAGTTGTCTCTCGCCACTTCCTGCCTCTCTTTGCATCATGGCTGTCTGTAAATAAAAGGCTGTTAACACCAATGTGGCTCCTCGTCAATCTATTACAAAACGCTACTAATCTTAAGTTTAAAAAAATTACAATCTACATACTTCATACTAAATATTTTTAGATGAATTATAACAATTCCTATGCCTACACACATTACATTACATTTAATTAATCCTAAGTTAATTTGCACTCTCTGAATATTTAATACATACAAGTATTAACAAGTATCATGCAAATATATATTTGTGACTTTTTTTCCTGTGACTTTTTTTCCTGTGACTTTTTTTCTGTGTTTTTTTTTCCTGTGTTATTTTTTCCTGTGACTTTTTTTTCCTACAATCGTTTATGAAAGGGTATGTAAGGTGTATGAAAACGTGTGTGATGGCCTCAGTTTTGTCCAGGTCTCCAAGGTTAGTACAGGTTAGGTTTATACTAGTTTTTAGCCACTGTATCTTAGTTTACTAGCTTGTGTATTTTCTGTTTAAACTAGACTGTGTTAGGTGTAGATAGTGTATATAAATTCTTTTAGTTTCAACGAGCCTTTGTTTCAGTCTTGTTTTGTAACCCGTTTGTGGTTGTTTGTCTTATGTGTTGCGCTACGCATCGGATCTCCCGAATGGCATGTCCGTGTGTTCACAACAGTGTACTTTACGGTGTTGGAAGGGGGGGGGACTATCTTTGGGTGAGTCTATTGTTTTACTTTAGTTTGGTAGTAGGGGGCTACTGTATGGGTTTGGAGGGGGGGGGTGTAGATTGTAAATCTCGGCAAATTCATTAAGCAGGCGCATGTAACCTTCACCTTGAACGTCTTGCAACCAACAGTCTGATTGCAAACTATACACTTTTGTGTTGATAGATGGGGTCGGAGCGAACTTTCTAGATAGCAAACAAATACAACAAAATAACATTAGCTTCCTACAACATTGTGTCATGAAGAAGGGCTTCACAAAATGTGTACATTAATACTATTATATTAATACACGGGATACCGTGATGGGTCTGAATAGATCCGCCTTCAAGATAAAATAAACAGTACCTGTGATGTAAAAGATACTGGGTGAACCTGGCAATAGGGCTGGTAAGTAGGTCACCAACCAGTTATATGGCTCATGCAGGTTTTATTGAGCCGTAGAACTGGTTGGTGACCTACTTACCAGCCCTATTTTGTTCCAAATGTCCACTCTATATTTTATTTTCTTGTACCACACCCACCCCACGCACCCCAGACCAAGTTGACAAAATATCGATCTAAAGAGTTTGATTGATTGATTTCAGGTGCCAGTCCTTACCCCGGGTTGTCTGCCCATGACGCCTTCAAGTTTGTTAGCGCTGGCAAGAAAATGGAGAAACCTCAGCACTGCAGTTCTGACATGTACATAACTTTAATCCTAACCACACAATCGACAACACACACATCCACTTTGACAACTAAAAACCCACTCAGCTAGAGAAATTTTGACAATTCCACATCAATTACGACAGCAACAAAAGAGTTCAACACAATCACACACAAAAAATTCCACACAACCCCCACCCCCCACATAACTCACCCCAATGTATCTTCTTCTTCTTCTTCGTTCTTAATTATTAGTGTTGAAGGGGATCGAGATTTATCTGCCAGTGGGTTTGAACTCGAGACTTTGTTCGAATTTATCAACCATGAGCTTTTTGCCGACTCGACCACGCCTCCAACACAATTAAGCGTTACGTGTCAACTGGTTATGCGCCATTGAGGCCATTGACTCCGATTTCAGCCTGCTTTTCTTTTAGGATTTGCTTCCATAGCCTTTGTCCAACCAAGAACAAACTACAAGGCAGCAGTTGTTTGATTTTGGAGTTGTCTCTCCTAGAAGAGTGGCTGTCCCCAGCTAACGAGCCTCATCTGCCCGAGGGTTCGAACTCGAGACTTTTCGGTGTAGCAACCATGAGCTTTACCGACTCGACCACGCCGACCCCCACCCCAATGTATAATCCCACCCACTCACAACCCCACACAACTCAACTCCAACAATCCTACACAAAATCCCACCCCCATACAAACCCGCACAACTCAACTCCCACACAAAATCCCACCCCACACAATTCCATCAAAACAAACCCACCCCCACAATCCCACACAACTCACCCCCATACATAATCACAACCATTCACAACCCCACACAACTCAACTCCCACAATAAATCCCACCCCCACACAATCTCCCACCCCCACACAATCTCCTACCCCCACACAATCCTACAACTCAACTCCAACAATCCCACACAATCTCCCACCCCCACACAATCCTACAACTCACCTCCCACAATCCCACACAAAACGCCACCCCAACTCCCCCATAACCAACCAACTAACCCTAACCCTCCCTGTCCCCAGATACGAGCTCATGTGCAGCTGCTGGTCCTTCCTCCCAGAGAACCGTCCAACGTTTGATGCCCTGTAACGCAGGTTCGAGACTCTGCTGGAAAAAGAAAAAGATTACATCAATCTGGAACTATTCCAGAGCGAACAGTACGCTTGTCTGGATGCGGATCTATTGGATGAGAAGATATAGGACATAAATGAGAAGATATAGGGCATAAAGCTGGTTGGATTAGAAGATATAGGACATAAAGCTGGTTGTATGAGAAGATATGACATAAATGAGAAGATATAGGGCATAAAGCTGGTTGGATTTGAAGATATAGGACATAAAGCTGGTTGGATTAGAAGATATAGGACATAAATGAGAAGTTATAGGACATAAAGCAGGTTGATTGAGAAGTTATAGGACATAAAGCTGGTTGATTGAAAAGTTATAGGATATAATTTATAAAGCTGGTTGGATGAGAAGTTATAGGATATAAAGCTGGTTTATTGAGAAGTTATAGGATATAAAGCTGGTTGATTGAGAAGTTATAGGACATAAAGCTGGTTGGATGAAAAGATATCGGACATAAAGCTGGTTGATTGAGAAGTTATAGGATATAAAGCTGTTTGGATGAGAAGTTGTAGGACATAAAGCTGGTTGGATGAGAAGTTATAGGATATAAAGCTGGTTGCTTGAGAAGAAATAGGATATTAAGTTGGCTGGATGAGAAGAAATAAGATATAATGCTGGCTGAGTGCAGACATAATAGAAAAGTTATAGTAGAATGACTGGGTTATATTAACTGACAGTTGAAGTCACCTAAGAGATCCCGGATGTTACATAACTTACTTGGATTTTGCAGATAACTTTTTTTTTTAAAACCCGAGAAAGTCGATTTAAAAACGAATCAAATCATTCTTCGCAGTGATCTCGTGCAAAATGTTTTTGTTGACACAAGTATTAGACATGCTGACAAGTATAGGGCTGGTAAGTAGGTCAATAAATAGTTCTATGGCTCATGCAGGTTTTATTGAGCTGTAGAACTGGTTGGTGACCTACTTACCAGCCCTATAGTAACGATCGTCCAGACGTGTATGTTTCATTACATACCTACAAGACATTTGAAACCTACCCCATACTCCACAGGACGTTACAGAACAAATATGTTCATAACCCCCCCCCCCCCCCCCCTCATCACGAACAAAATGTAAACTCAGTGCTTTGCAATTTATGTGACCATATAAATGAATGACAAGAATCACATTATTTTTTAGGAAATATTTTATTAAAATAAGACTGTTTTGTAATAATATTCATTATACAACTGTCTGTTGATTTAAGCAAAAGAAACAATAACCTACATTAATAATTGTAATGCATTCAATGATAAAAATAGATAATAATAAATGCAATCTTTTGTAGTTTAGATATTAACGTCAATAAAACATTAAAATTTAATAACTATGAATATAAACACACCTAACTTTATATACAAACATCGTATTCAATAAAAACATTGCAACCATCCATTGTTTGCAGTTGTGTTGTCATGTTATAGTGATGCCTTGTATTCTATAGAACTGTTTTCATCGTTACTATGGACTTATAGTAACTACTTTTACAAATGCTGCCGAGTGTATGGCTTGTAAGACATGTTCTCTCTCACTGTTATTTGATATCTCGCTAGCCAGGGAGAGGTGTGAATTTTCGAACTGAATTTTCTCTTGTGATCATGGTTACCATTATTAACAAAAAAAAAAAAATGGGGTTATTTGTTTCTAGGTCTCGCCTCAAGATTTTAAAATACCAAGAGTGCATAAAAGAAAAAAGAATTGCGCAGCAAGTGAACGGAAAAAAATATTTAAATAATAGTGCGGAAAACTAGTACTTCATTAATTCATATGCGTTTTTTTAGAAATCGGAAATAGCGTAAAGTTTTACTTCCGGTCAATGAAAATTACTCAAAATTTGAAAGAAAGCAGAGAATTAGATCTTTTACGTTTAAGTGAAATTTCGTTTCTCTATGTGAAACAGTAGGCCTACTCAAGTTATGTTTGCGTTTTTGTTTGTGGTTAGGGTTAATTAAAAAGGTAATATATCTATTAAACCGGGCTATGCCGGGTATATGCTGAACACAACACACAGGTCATAGGGGGGGGGGCGGTAGATGCATGGAAAAAATTCTGGTGCCTGGCCGGCTAGTTTATAATTATTTATATATATATATAAATATATATGTTAGAAGGATTTAGTTGTTCGAGAAAGAGGGATCATCTGCGATCGCACTTCTGACACCAAAATGTAAGGGGAGGGTTGTTTTTGTTAACCGATTAAAAGAGAGACATGGTAAGATGGTATTGACCATTATTCTCTCAAATCCGTGCACCTTTGCGTGGTGACAAAGGAGTCTAATAGACCTGAGCAAAACTAATTAACATCTAAACAAATACAACATTAATTTTACACTAAAAATAAAACTTGGTAAACACCCAGTTAATGCATTTAAATTTATTTAACTTCATCCTACTTCACAAAAATGTATTTTACAAGCAAAAAACAAAAGGATACAAATAAGACCTGGCCAGTTTTCATAATCAAGGAAACATCCCTCGAATTCTTAATACATGGTAAGATGGTATTGACCATTATTCTCTCAAATCCGTGCACCTTTGCGTGGTGACAAAGGAGTCTAATAGAGCTGAGCAAAACTAATTAACATCTAAACAAATACAACATTAATTTTACACTAAAAATAAAACTTGGTAAACACCCAGTTAATGCATTTATTTTGTCTTGAGCACTTATATCGGGAGCCAATATGTCGGGAGCCGCTTTATTTTAGAAACATATTTATGGCAATCATCACATTCATCTGGCTTATCTCCAGTATGAACTGTTTTATTTTTTCTAGAAACATATTTATGGCAATAATCACATGATTCATGTGGCTTATCTCCAGTATGAACTTTTCTATGTTTCCTTAAATTACAACTCTGAGAAAACTTTTTATGACAAACATCACATTCAAATGGTTTATCTTCTAAATGAACTTTTTTGTGTGTATTTAAACTAGAACTCTGAGAAAACTTTTTATGACAAACATCACATTCAAATGGTTTATCTCCTGAATGAACTCTTTTGTGTGTATATAAATTAGAACTTAATGAAAACTTTTTATGACAAACATCACATTCAAATGGTTTATCTTCTGAATGAACTTTTTTGTGTGTATTTAAATTAGAACTCTGAGAAAACTTTTTATGACAAACATCACATTCAAATGGTTTATCTCCTGAATGAACTCTTTTGTGTGTATATAAATTAGAACTTAATGAAAACTTTTTATGACAAACATCACATTCAAATGGTTTATCTTCTGAATGAACTTGTTTGTGTGCATATAAATTAGCACCATGTGAAAACTTTTTATGACAAACATCACATTCAAATTGTTTATCTTCTGAATGAACTCTTTTGTGTCTATATAAACTAGAACTCCGAGAAAACTTTTTATGACAAACATCACATTCAAATTGTTTATCTTCTGAATGAACTTGTTTGTGTGCATATAAATTAGCACCATGTGAAAACTTTTTATGACAAACATCACATTCAAATGGTTTATCTCCTGAATGAACTCTTTTGTGTGTATATAAATTAGAACTTAATGAAAACTTTTTATGACAAACATCACATTCAAATGGTTTATCTTCTGAATGAACTTGTTTGTGTGCATATAAATTAGCACCATGTGAAAACTTTTTATGACAAACATCACATTCAAATAGTTTATCTTCTGAATGAACTCTTTTGTGTTTATATAAACTAGTACTCCAAGAAAACTTTTTATGACAAACATCACATTCAAATGGTTTATCTTCTGAATGAACTTGTTTGTGTTCATATAAATTAACACTATATGAAAACTTTTTATGACAAACATCACATTCAAATGGTTTATCTTCTGAATGAACTTGTTTGTGTTCATATAAATTAGCACTAAATGAAAACTTTTTATGACAAACATCACATTCAAATGGTTTATCTTCTGAATGAACTTGTTTGTGTTCATATAAATTAGCACTATATGAAAACTTTTTATGAAAAACATCACATTCAAATGGTTTATCTTCTGAATGAACTTGTTTGTGTTCATATAAATTAACACTATATGAAAAGCTTTTACCTAGAAGCTAACAACGTGACGATAGAAGCCAAAAAGAGAGCTGTTTTGTTAACAGTCATAGGGCCTCAACAATTTAGGCTACTAAAGGACTTATGCGCACCAGCTAGTCTAACTACCAAGAGCTTTAACGAGCTGAGCAAATTGCTAACAGACCACCATGCGCCTGTACCATCAAAGTTTCTATGTCGAGCTAGATTTGACAGTAGGACTCGTCAACCAAACGAGTCAATATCAGAATATGTTGCTGCTTTACGTCATTTAAGTAGATTTTGTGAATTCGGAGACACGCTGTCTGACAGACTATGTGAAAAGTTTGTGACAGGTGTAAACAGCCCTGATGTTCAAAGAAAGTTGCTGCTCGAGTCAGATCTAACATTGGAAACAGCAATACAACTTGCAACTTCATTCCAGCAGTCATCCGATGCGGCGAAATCTCTAACGCCTTCAGAGATCCATGCAGTAAACAGCAGGTTAGTCAATAAACATCAACCCCATCAGAGCATTCCAACTTATGCTAAACAGCCTGCTCGTTCAAATCCTAGATCTAAATCTAGTAATAATTATCAAAAATGTCATCGATGCAAAGGTCCCCATGCATCTCATCGGTGCAAGTTCAAGTCTGCAACTTGTTATAAGTGCAGTAAGCAAGGTCACATTGCCAAGGCCTGCTTTGCAAAGTCTTCGTCTGTTGCTAAATCTAGTCAGTCAAGACAGTACCGCAACCAAAGGCAGCACTATGTTAACTCTCACCAAGACTACCTAACCCAACCAATGAACCACTCTACCTGTGAAAATGCTCAAACTGATTCGCAGCCGGATTTCAACCTATTCTCTGTGAAATCAATAAGTCATGCTCCCATCAATGTACCAGTTTATATCAACGGTAAGAGCATCAGCTTCCAACTTGACACTGGAGCATCTCTAACAGTCATAACAAAGAAGGACTTTGACGCTGTCTCAGGAGGATCAGTGCCTCTACAACCATGTCACAAGTGTCTAACAACATACACTGGTGACAATGTTCCGGTAATAGGAGAGTGTATGGTTCATGTAAGTTATAATGGTCAAAGTGTTAAACTTCCTCTTCTTGTGGTTGAAGGAAATGGACCACCATTACTAGGTAGGAACTGGTTAAGTGATCTTAAGTTAAATTGGGAGAGTATTTGTTCATTGAAGAATGTAAAAGAATC